GAGAGAGAGAGAGAACCAGGCAAAGACAACAAGACCCCAAAGGCATTAATCTTTAGAGGAAGACTTTAAGACATTGCCATGAAATAGGGGGAAATGGCCTATTTATTAACACCAGAAAGGTAACATCACCCACATGCTCACTGTAGCTTTACCAAATGTTGCAGATTTGCAACACAGAAGACCGAAGCTGGTTGCCCAGACAGTTTCCTTGTGTGAAGTAAAGGGGGTCATGGTTAAGAAAAACTCAAGATCAAATATGGGGACTTGGGTGCAGCTCAATGGTGGACCGTTTCCCTGACACGTGTGTGTGTGTGTGTGTGTGTGTGTGTGTGTGTGTGTGTGTAAAGTTCTAGGATCCATCCTTAGCACTGTTTGCTCCCTATGCCCACAAAAGAGACATACTTGTGAGTTTTTCCATTCAAAGCTTTAAATTGGAAACTGTAGTGGTTTGAATGATAATGGTTCCCTTAGACACCTGTACTTTGGCATAGCAGGGAAGGATTAGGAAGCATGGCTGGGTTGAAGGATGGGATGTTGAGTTTTCAAAAGCCTAGGCCATTCCAAATCAAGCTCTAGGTGGGGCTTCCTACTTGCAGAGAAGACATCAAGTTCTCAGCTACTGCTCCAGCACAGTGCCTGCCTGCCCGTGGCAATGAACTCCACCACCATCTAAGACTCTAGTTCTCTGAAACTAAGCAAGGCCCCAGTGAACTCTCTTCTGTAAGCTACTTCAGCCTTAGAAAGAGGTCTAACATAGACGGCTTAAAGGCTCTGAAAGAAAGTATTAATGAAGCTCCAAATCCCCTGACATGTGTGTATGTCACTCTATATATTAAAGAAACTAGTTGTAGCTGGACTGGCATGGTGATGCATACGTTTAGTCCCAACGCTTGAGGGAAAGGAGTAAGTGGGCCTCTGTGAGTTCAAGGCCAGCCTCATCTACATAGTTAATAGGCCAGTCATGGAGAGCAAAATGGAAAAAATAAAAATAAAAATAATAAAATAATACCAGTGTTCGGGAGGAAGAGGCAGGCAGATCTCTGGGTTCAAAACTAGCCTGGTCCAGGACAGCCAGGACTACACAGAGAAACTCTGTCTCAATAAACAAATAAATAAATTTCGAGTGAATGAATGAATGAGTGAGTGAATGGAGTATCTCTCCTGCCTAACCAGGGCAAAGGTCCCTGAAGCGAGCAATCAAACTTTCTTTGGATGACAGCATACACTAGTGGCTAGCAAAGACATAGCACTATCTGTGTTACTAAATGCTTTCTCCAGTGCCCAACTATTGAGTTTGAGGCAGGACATTGCTACTCATCCCTGGCTGGCATCAAAATTGTAGCAATCCTCTTGCCTCACCCTTCTGAGTACTGGAGACATAGGCTCAAGCCACCACTCCTGGCTAATTTCTAATATGTACACAAAATGCCAAGTCCCATTTGATGGGAAAATTTCTGTCCGTAACTGATAAATGGAAACTCACGAAATCAGAGGAAAATGACGCAAGCTGTGATGGTTAATACTGACAGTTGTCTTGGCAGCATCTAGAATAGTCTAGGAGTCAAGCCTGGGCATTGCTGTGAGAATCTATATTGATTAGGTTAATTGAGGTGAAAAGACTCACCCAAACTGTGGGCAGCACCATTCCCTGGGCTGGTGTGTTGGAGATGGGAGGAGAGAGTGAGCCAGGTGCCGGCATTCATTGCTCTCTGCTTCCTGACTGCAGATACAATGTGACCTACCGCCTCAAGCTCCTGCAGCCATGAGTAAAAACAAACCCCTCCTTTCTCAAGGGGGCTCCTTGTCAGTTACTTTGTAATAACAACAGTAAAAGTACTAATACACAAATTTAAATGAAGCTGACACAATAAAGATGATCAATTTTCATGTTTTCTTGCCCCACCCCTCTTTTGACATCTAAAAAAAAAAAAAAATGCCTGTGGATGTTCTGCCTGCACATATGCCCATGACGTGCCATAGAAGCTGGAGCTTGAGTTACAGATGGTTGTGAGCAGCCATGTTGGTGCTGGGATCCTCTGGAAAAGTAGCCAGTGCTCTTAATCACCAAACCAACCCAGGAATGCCTTTCCCCCTTTGTCTTTTTATTCATTCATTCATTCATTTATTTATTTTGAGAGTCTCAAGTGATAGCCCAGAATAGCCTCAAATGTGTGGCAATCCCCCTGCCTCAACCTCCAGGGTGCTGGGATTGCTGTACTTTAAGCCATCCCAGCTTCTGACCCTTGAAAAAGTTTCAGCCCCCGGCATGGTGGCACACACCTGTAATCCCAGCACTGGGGAGGTGGAGGCAGGAGGGTCAGGAGTTCAGATCCTTAGCTA